GGATTGTTAGTAGGAATGTCAAGTATACCTATAAAATCAACTGAAAAATACATATATGACTCTTTGGAAATTAAACGGCAAAATATAAAGTGAATGTAAACAAAATAATTAAGAAATAATATATTATGAAACAATGTGTGTTATGTAGACACAGAAAATGTCCAGAATATTATCTATTTGATTTAAGTTATTGATCCAAAATAAGCTCTGTTTGGCCAAAAAAGGGAAGCAGATTTTTACATAAAACACAGATACCTACCTTTCTGATGTACAGAATTAGTCTCATTTGGAAAAATGACATTACAATCTTAGGGGCTAATATACATAAAATAGTAACTTCTAGTTCCTTTGTAGGATATTTTATTTTATTTATTATGAAAGCTAAAAAATGGTAAGCATTGGGTCAAGGGCTACATATGATTTCCAAGCCTTATGTTCAGTTTAATTTTTGTTGTGTTCCTGACAATTTTTTTATTCAAGTCCCACCTACTCGTTGGAGCAGACTCCAAAAATCAAAGTCAATTGCAACCTTCATCTCCAAAAAGTTGCATACCCCTGTTCTACCTGTGGATCTCCATCTGAAAGCTCTACCTATCAGAATGGTAGCAGGAAAAGCCATCTATTATTGGACATTTTCATTAAAAATGTGACTCAGAAAGAACTGTCTTGGCATTTTACTGTCTCCCACAAGGCTATTTTCAGAAGCTCTCTTGTTAACAGTTTTCAGCAAATTCTTTGCATTTGTTGACAAGATATGCATTCATTTGGCTTCAGTATGGAGGGTAGGTCAGGCTAATGTAGCCTTAGCAACCATTTCTCCAGTAGTTTTGGATTCCTTTCAGTTTATCAGTCTGCAAGATCTAGATATTAAATAAACCATATATATTTTTCCAATTTTGTGCTCACTTATGCATGTTTAAACAAAGAAACTGTCTCTTGCATTAGATCTGGTTCACTGAAGTTTATGCCACAAGAAATGTAGCATCTTTTAACCCTTTACTGACTGCAAAATATGATTGTTTTCTACTGGTCAACTGCTGTGTGGTTCTACAGGATTCACAGCAGCGATTACATTATCTGGTGGTTTCTACTAGAATATTGTCTGAAAAAGTGAAGAAATGCTTGAGGAGAGAACTGATACCTGGAAGAGGCAATAGCTGGCAATGAGTTTCAGTCTTACCTTCTGTCCCTTCTTCAGGTTTTTTAATTTTAATTGATTTATAATATTTTCTGCAGTTTCTGCAGTTTTGATCGCTTTTCTTGCTGCTCTGATGTTTATAGTGTTTCCTGTTTCATTGGCTTGTTTAGTATATCTATGAGTATTTTTTATTGTACATTGTCTTTATATTTATTAAATGTTGTAAATGTAAACATTTTTTTAAAAAAAGAAAGAAATCAGCTGATGAATGCAGAAAGTTCTTGGAAGGAGAAACAGACGGGTGGCATAGGCTATGAGTTTCTGGTTATTTCTTGTAACTCTTAACATCTTGAAGGATGGTGGCTAGTCTAAATATTTCTGTTTATTCATTAGAAGGATGTAATGAGTCAACTAATGCTTGTGTCCACATTCCTTTTAAATTTTACTGCCTTATACATTTCTAAGGAATACGTGGTGCCTAACAGTTTCTTCAATGGAGCCATAATATAGTAATTAGTGTGCTTAAAAGAGTTATCAGTTACAGATGCATTCGACTATGCAGGAAATCAAGAGTCTTCTAGAAAAAACATTTATTGAGTGCATTTCAAATTAGAAATCATGCATCCAAACAGTTTAAAAAACCCACTCTCCCTCTCTTCTTGTTCTGAAATTTTAGTTTTATTCTTTCTGAAAGCCATTTTTATTTACACACAAGCACACACACATTCATGTTACATTTTTGTAACTGAAATTGTCTTGTGTCCTCAGTAAAATACAATAGTGCCTTTTCTCTCTTCCTGACATTTATATTGAGATTTTCCAGGCAGCTCAATTTCTGTCAATTCTAAATATCCTAAGGCAGGAAAAAGATGCTACAGACAAATGTTAAGCTGGTTCTCTGTGAATCAACTATATCCTCTCTCTTTCTCATATTTATTATTAGTTATAACCTATTTTTCCTCCAGGAGCTTAAGGCAGCTTATATGGGAATTTCCCTTTATTTTATCCCCACAACAATAACTCTGTAAGATGGAGTAACTGGTTCCAAGTCATCCAGGGAGTTTCCATGGCTGAAGCTCTGCTTGTACCTGAATCTTCCCAGGCTTACTCTAACACCTTAACCACAATAGCACAATCATGCTGTATCCTAGTATCCCCTCCCTCCCTTCCTTCCTCCCTTCCCTCTTCTATAAATGAAAAGGGGGGGGGGGTCTGTTTTAGAATTTTAAAATGCTCTAAACAGCAAAAGTCCCCACTCAGAAAAAAATTGTTATAGGCTCATATACTCAGAATAGTAAAACTAATTTCATTTGTACAATTGTTAAACAAATGTTTTAAACAAAACTGTTTAAAAAAGAACAGGTTGGAAATTTAAAGCAAATCCCAAGTATATAATTAAAATAATTTATGGTTAGGGCGTGTTAGGTGTAGGACCTGATTTATTAACTTGGTAATCCATTCTATTCCATACATAGCTGTGCACGATATAATTACTATCTGACCAAGGCTGCTGAATGAAAAACAAGGCTGTATTGTTAAGATAAAATTCTTTTGCGCTGGAAGCAGAAAAAGTGAATTCTCAAAATGATGCTAAGTGTGAATAAATTTATTAAATGATAACAGCCTACCTGCAGTAAACAGAATGGCAGGAAGTGATATTTGGAAATGTACTAGGTTTACTATATTTCTTAAAAATAAAGTTAATTACTTTGAACATCAGTCTAAAGCTTTTGGGTTGTATTCCAAAAAGTTGATTTGGAGTTTCATGGGGTTCAAACGTAGCACCTCTCAGCAACTCATGAAAACAGCTGTGTCTTTTCCTGTGATTGTATGACAGCGATCTCTTGCCTTTCCCACTTAAAATTTCTCAAAAGGCCATGAATCATGGGTACGTGCAAGCCTCTAAAATTAGAAACACAGTATGTTCCCATTTCAATAGCAGCATGACATAAAAGCCAGGAAAGCAATAGTTTGACAGAACATTTATTTATACGTTTATTGCTCTTGGAAATATATTCATTGATTGATCCATACTTACTTAAGCTTTGCATAAGAATGAACAAGATGGCTGTTACTAATTTTTAAGTCTTCCTGGCAGATTTCAGTCCAAGAAGTTGAAAATTATGCAAACATATTTCACTTCAGGAAACATTAAAGGCCAATAACTGCAGGTTTACTTTAGGCTGAATTAAACAGAGGTTTTATATACAATGTCCATGGTTTCTAGAGCACAGTAAGTTGTATTATGTACTATAGACTATTTGAAGTTATATTATAGATATTAACAATTTAGAGATTAGCAAAGTATGTGCCAAAACAATATTTTTTTCAAGAATCAGGCTGAATTGTAAAATAAGTAGAGCAGAACAGAACAGAAGGAACTGGTACCATCAGAAAGAAATTGTACATCCAAACTGTTTTTGTCCCTTTTTTTAACTTGGCATTATCTGTCAGACATCTCACCTTTTTCAGAACCAATAAAATACACTTCAAATTGGGCAGAGAAATGGAGGACAATTGCAAGACAGCTTTGATACGTATATCAGGATTAAATTATATTTCAAAAATTACTGCTGCCCTAAAAGTAGAGTTGTTCATCAAGCTGCCATGCCTAATCCTAATAGAAAAGTATCCCCTAATAGAAAAGAAAGAGATTGCTACTGCTGTGGGTTTTGTTATTATATTTTTAATATACCTTTTAGAACGTATATCATTATTTCAAGGCAGTTTTCATACGGAATAACAAAATGTACTACAACACTGCAGATCATTCACATGAAATTAAAAATAGAATAAATCATTAATATTAACATAACATGAATTAGGAGAGCAACAAATAAAAGCTATGTAAATACTTAAATTTACTGATGCGCATTGCTCAGATTAAAAGGGCAGAATGAAAAGAAAGCTACTTGTGTCCAAAGGAAGAATGATTTTTTTCCCCAGATATACCTTTCCAGTTCCACATAATTGGCTCTGAGTGCAATACTAAGTCTCACCCCAAGGTCGTGGCTCCAGAGATCGGGAGGTGTATATCAGTATTTACTGCTGTCCTCTTCTTCCATAAAAACACTAATCACATAACAGGCGTAAACAAAACCAATCAACTGTGAGAGAAAAAAGAAAGTGGGAAAACTGTTACTACATGCTATAAAGGTTCAAATGTATGTGGCAAGCTACATCTAGTTCAGAAATGTAGTCAAATATGCAAACTAAGTGGAACTGCAGGAACTTTCAAGACTTATCATCAGTTTTAAATATTCAATACTTTGGCTAAAAATCCTTGGTAATGCAAAGTAAAATTCCAGTGAAATTAATGTTTTGGGATCAGAGTATTTGAAAAAAACATTTTTTTCCACATGAATCCATTCAGAATTTACAACTGCCATTATAAGTTCTGTTTATAGGTGCCACCCCTTACAGAATTTAGATTGGGTTAGGACTTAAGGCCTTTTCTGTAGCCGTATTCCAGTTATGCAACTCCTCCCTATAAAGGTGAGCTGCTGCGGCTGGCAGCAACACAGGGAATCCACAGCCAGCTTCGTCACAGGGTAATGCCAGAAACTGCATTTGGCAGCACGTGGTTTGTGGTTTAGCTGGAGGCCCTGCTGTGAAACCACAAACAGCCAAGGAAAGGGAAACGAGGGAAGGGGCACTCCAGCCACCACTCTATAGAGGAAAGCAAGTCCGTTTGGTACTGCGAGAATTGTCACCACAAGACTGACTCTCCTTCAGTGCTCCTGCCATGCAGGAAGAATGGCTCCTTTCCTGCCAGGCCTCTGATCCTATGGAGTGATTGCTTGTGGGATGGGAGAACTCACAGCAGAAGACCTGTGTCCCCTCTTCTCCCCCATGGCAAGAGAAGTAGTGGGGAGAAAAGGGGAAGAAAGATCTCTTCTTTCTCTCTCCCTCTGTCCATGGGTGACAGAAGAAGCAGGCTATGGGAGCAAAATGCCTCCTTTGGTTCTAGAATGATTACTCTGTAGGACCAGAGAGCTGGAAGGAAAATTGCCTCCCCCACTCCCCGCTTCTTTTGCCACCCATGTGTGCTTAAAGTGGGGATGGGGATGGGAGGGGAAGGGAAGCAGATCCTTTTGGTTGCACAAATGGTCTCCCAGCCTCAAAGAGCTCTTCTACTGCCAATTCCTGTCACCAGAAGAGGTGTTCCCTTTACGTCTCTCCTCCCCAAGTTTTTAATTTTTTTAAACCAAAACTGCTAAATCAAGTTCAGAACTAGAGAGAAATAATCTCCCCAAAAAAATGTGGCACTCATGCGAGGTATTGCTTAAACTTGATCCAGAAGTGGCAGTCAGGCTTCTGCTGTACCACATGGGCCTCAGACCATTCCAACTGTCCACACAAATGCATGCCTCCCACTTCTCATACAAGAGAACCCCTTCTCTGCTTCACTGCTGAGGCACAGTAGAAGTTGGGAGTGTGATCAGCATTTCTTTAAGCCTGCATAGTTTTCAGCCAGTTCCCACGATGGATAGCAGCTCTTTAGTGCTACTATGTAGAAATATGAGATAATCTTTAAATACAGTATGACCAGGTAGAATACTGGTAAAGGTTTTAAATAACTGGTTGGTCCTGTATGACCAATATAACTTCTTCAGTCATGAATAACATATCTCATGAAATTATAATAAATCAAACATGCTTTCTTAAGAAAAGCAAAAGAAATTGTTTCAAAAAGTTAAACTGGTGAATGGTGTTGCCAATATCTAGGACAAGGTAAATAAAGAAAACCTTACCCAATAATTAGATGAATGACTGAAAATATCCTTTCTGCCCAACAGCAAATGTAAAACTCCACAAACAGAGTGATCTTTAAATATATATTAATAGACTAGTAGCTTTTAGTAGCAAGGGAATTATTACAGTATTTTCTTTGCTTTACTGATGGCCATTGTAATAAAATATTTATTCCAACAAATTACTTTAGCTACCTATCTTGATTAACCCAACTGTTACTTAATTAATATGGCTGCACTCACTAAAGTCTAACTAACTGTTAGGTTAATAATTAATCTGCAGTGGGACAATTGCTGTGCATTGCTTGGCTTCCCAATATCTTAATGCAAATAGCATTTGTTGGCAATTTGCCTAGGCTCAAGTTAACTTTTATTAATTGATAAGAAAGTAAAACTTGGTATGCCCAATTACCATTGGTTAATTTTTCAGATCAACACTTAGATCAAGAATGGAATTCTGTAGTCCTCCAGGTATGGCTGAATCACAGCTCCTAAAATTTCTCATTATTGCCCATGCTGACTCGGTCCCCCGCTTTGGAGTTAAATATTAAAGTCTCTGACAAGTGTTATGATGGTATTCTCATATCGTCCTATACATATTTTCTATGCATTCCTAATAGTGCACTCCAAATATATGCTTCTGATTGAAACTGATCATTAAAAAAATGTTGGTTTGGAAGTAGAGCCTTGGAAGTAGGCAAAGTTAATTAAAGGTGTATAATTGACAGATACATTAAATCTTTTAGATTTACTTTACAGTTTTCATATGTTTCTCAGTTTGAAATGACTAGAAATTGGGTTCCAAAATTCTAAATCATGAGGCCAAAATTTATGGTGGTACAGATTGATGGCTTCTGACAAACGCAAAAAAGTGGTTCAGGGGCCGCAGGTGATCATGTCTGATATACAGTATGCATTAGTCATCTATGCTGTCTTCTCATCATTTTCAAACTGGCAGCAAGAACCTTTTCCCTCTTCTGCTTGAATAAGCCAAATTTATCTGCTTCTCAACCAAGGTTTATTGGAATTTATAGGGCATAGTCCAAATCCCTGGAGAAAATTTCTGTCCCAGAAGATCCATATAGATGCTTTTTTATTAGTAGTGATATCTAAATGTTGAATTTCTTTATTCTGTGGTTCAGAAGAAATCCTTAGGCTATTTTAAGACTCAATAAGGTATCTACACAATAAATAATCTGACGGAGAATTTGCCATAACTGCAGGGATGTTTGCATGTAGATATATGTTTTAATATGGGTATAAGGTTAACACAGAAAGGTGAATATTGTTTGTCCTACAAATGAGACACCACGCCTTATCCAAACATTCAACTTCTCTGAAAGATAAAAGTTGAGTTTCTCTTCCCATGTCTCTTGCACATACCTTAGCAATGCATCCAGAACTCAAAATTAGTTGGCTCATGTTTTCACAGTTTAGGCAAGATTTATTATTTTGCTTGCATAATTGGCATACCTAACTGGCCAAATTCCCCATCTTTGTCATGCTCAGCTGTTTATTTCTGTAAACTGGAGGGAGGGGCTACTTAGTCCAACCTTCCACAGCAATTAAGATTTTTTTTCAAACATACACTACTCACTCATTGCTCATTATGTAATGAGTAAGGACAACTAAGTAAAAACTAGTAGAACTGAAAATATGTTTTCTTTAAATAGAATTTTAAAATGGGTTATACTATATTGGGAAAGAAGGGAGGAAATCATATGAAGGGAAAGGAAAGGAATTGAAATATGGATAAACCAAGAAATGGAAAGAAGATAAAACTTAACAAGTTGGTCATCTGAAGGAAAGAGCATCATCATACACAGTGTCATTCAAAAATGAAAATCTGAGCAACAATAAAGTGTGATTTCTTTGACAAACCACCATCGCCTTGTCACTTGTCCAAGAGACTGTGATTTGAGCAACTGTTTAGAAGGGTTATGTTGATTTGATGACAGAACTGTCAATTCCTGAAAGTTCCCCCTCCTCAAAAAATTTTATATGAATAAATTCCATGAGCTTTGTCTTTCAAAATAACTCTTTGGTGATGGCGCCTCCCTTTTCAGTGTGCTGAGCTCCTACATTACACATTGGAGGAGGCAGCAGCGGTGGTGGGGCAAGTCTGCGGAGGATCTTAAATTGGAGGTAGGATCCACCAGAATGGATGAAAATGGTTCTTTACTTAGTGTTTCTGCTAAAACAACTGTATTACATGTTTAGTTATATGGTAGTAATCTTTCATTCCATAGCCAGTATATTCATTTTTTGAAATGTAATATTGAAAATTTGCCAACTGTCTGGCATGGCTGTAAAGTATCATTATATCTACTTGTGGTGGTGATTAGTGGAGTTTTGGGGTATACGTTTACATATTAAATTTATTTATACCAGCATAAGATATATATTATCCTTCCCTTCTAACATATATAGAATGATTAACATATTTGATTCAAATTTATATCTATGTAGATTTAGACTTATTCCTAATAGCGATCTGTGATCCAATAACACTGTTACTTATCTTGATTATTTATTTAGTGAATGACAACATAGAAGTCTAAAAAGTTAAAATGAAAAAGAAATTACGGACGTATTATTAGATCAGGCTATTGTTTATGGTTTAGTCATAAACAACTCATCATTGTTTCAAGCTCTTTAACAGACACATTGACTTTTTAATCCAAGGGGTTTATTTCTCCAACCAGGAATGCCTTTTTAATACAATTAATTTAATGAACCCCAGTGTGGCAAAAAGGTACTGTACTTGTATTTTACCAGTAAAACAAAAGAATTTGAAGGCTCTGAGAAACATTTCCAAGTTTATACTATATATATTTTTTGGTTGATTTTTCTAAAATAGAAGTCCACAACCACAGGATTGGCATTATAATAAAAGTAAAAATAAAAACCTAAATCATTACTTTTATGTCATTTTAGGGAAAATTATAATCACAAATGGGTTTATTATAAAAGTCTACCACAAAGAAGGGTCCACATGAAGAAAATAACGCAAGGGATAAACAAATGTAAATTGAATAAATCATAGGTACAAAACACTAAATACTTTCATACTTCCCACCACCACCACCACCACCTTTATGACTCTACCTAGAAAAACATAAATTGGGATAACAGTCATAACTGACCCAATATATCCATGCAGTTCAGGGACAGGAAACTTTTTTTTGACAAAGTGGTACCCTGGAATTCTGAGATTATGCTTGGGGATTTTCACAAAAGTGCTACATGGCAAGGTTATTCCCAAAAATATCTACCTTGAGTCCCGTTCCTAAACATTCATTACCAGGTGGGATGGTTGCTTCACACCATCCCTTCCAGCTCCAGAGCATCTT